TGGGGTCAATGCGGGATTTACGTTAATTAATCCCTTTTGTGATACTAAATTGATTGAGGGCAAATGGTTATTGTGGAAATTTGGTTGATATATATGTAAATTAGACTGCATCACTGCCCATACGAAATTTAAAAGTTCAAACAGAATGGCTATGAGTTATAGTTTTTTAATTGGCTGATCTAAAGTAACGCAAACCTCTCGAGATAGCTGAAACTCTTTCTCTGTAATAGGTGCTAGTTGACGGCATCTTAGGTGCCAGAGTTGATGAAGGTGCTCCCTATGCGAATGTCGTTGTCCAGTGACTGTTCTATGTAGTCCTTGATTTCTACTTACAATTCGTAGAGATGTCTTCTCAAGTATCTAGGCTGAGGTTCTTTTTCTTACAAGTGCCTATTCGGGGTACGGTACTCAAATAAGTATCAATCGATCAGTAACTCCATGGTTAACATAAGGCAGTGTTCACCTTTCTGGTATGTTTGTTGTAGATCTTCTGGTTGGGAATGTTACGTTCCGTGCCATGTAAAATTGGTCTACATCGAAGAGGAAGCATATGCGTAAAGCAAAACTCTTATCTAGTGGCTGGGAGAACTCGTATACATAGAAACTAAACAGAAGAGGGGAAAGGACACCACACTAAGAGACGCCCTGTCGGTGGGGGCTATAAAATGAATAAATACGTATGTAGTTGAGAATTACAGTCGTCTTAGGCAGGCGAAGAAAATAATAAACACAAACAACACACCGCCTAAGTGCATATCACACCAGTCAAAATAGCAAAACCGATCTCGCGAATTCTGAAAAAGCAATAACGCAGATTTTTTAGCAAAATATCCAACTAACCCTGAAACGATTTTTTTGATAAAAATAAATATTTGCAATCATGGGGCGAGCTTAAAGTAAATACGTGCTAAATAAATGTGTACGAAAGAATTTTGATTTTGTCGCAAGTAATTTAAATTATTATTTTTTTTATAGTACTAGTACTAGTATAATTCTACTGCAATTCATAAGAAAGTTTCACTTCAAATTCTACATAATTTCGTTTAAATAGTCCAGAGCCTTAATTTTACAACCGATTTGATAATTATTATTTTTTTTTTTGTTTATTTGAAAGTTTTTGAGACAGAAGAATTTTTATGTTTTCTATAAAAAATTTTAGTGCAAAGTGCAGAGGTTGCAGATATTTTGAAGAAAATCGATTCTCTAAATGAATGTCACATATTAAAAAGTTGTTAAACAAAATTATAGGATTACCCCAAAAAGAAAAAAAATTTTATGTAATAAAATATATCAAATCAACGCGAATCCTTAGCTACTTGAAAATACTATGTTATACTAAAATTGAATAGGCCATAAAACTGCATACCTAATTTTTTTTTTTTTGTAAAAATAAAAAATATTAATTTTGATCAACATTTTTTTACATCACTTGAAATAATTTTTTAAATTTTGTTGAATTTTTTTCGTTTTTTGGGAAACCATATCCGCAGCACAGTGGCGGCGGCTGTGGTGTAGTGGTAAGCAGTGCGCACTTCCACTCCGCAGGGCCTGGGTGCAAACCGTGGTCAAAGCAACATCGCAGAAAAATGTAGGAAAAAAAGTGTTTTCTTAACAGCGGTTGCCCCTCGGCAGGCAATGGCAAACCTCCGAGTGTATTTCTGACAGCTTCTCATAAAAATACAATCGCCGTTCGGAGTCGGCGTAAAACTGTAGGTCCCTCCCGTTTGTGTGACAACATTAAAGCGCACGCCACAAATCGGAGGAGAAGTTCGGCCAAACACTAACATAAGTGTAAGCGCCAGTCTATTATTATTATTATAAACGCAGTGCTCTAAAATATTTTAATTTTATTTAACAAAATTAAATTTCAAAAATCTGGTTCTAAAAATGTCTTCTAACTCTCAAAAACTTTCATACAAAAAAATATCAAAACGATTGAAAAATTAAAGCTCTGGATTATTTTGATTTTCAATTTGGCACCACTATCCTGTGTTGCGGTCGAGTAAATTAATGTTTTGCCAATTTTAATAATTATGTTTTGTTAAATTAATACGAATACTACAAGTGATTCGCAAAATGTTTTCCCATGATTGGCACAAGTTCCACTTCATTTGATTGCATTTTTTAGTTAAATAAATGTGGTTTGTCTTGACACTTTGGTGTCCATATTGTTGCGCCAATTACATACATACAAATACAAACCATGCTTTTAACTCTCATCTCATTACCACATCGGTTACTCATCATCATTACAAGCTATAAAATACAATACTTGTCAACATTAAGCATTTAAAAAACCATGAATAATAAATTTTCGCGTCATTAAAACGACTTGCTGTGCAAAGTATGAGAATGAGCTAAAATCCCAAACAAATAAACAAACAAGCCAGCAAGCAACCAAATCAATTAAACATGACTTTATTAAGGAAAAATTACCAATTTGTAAAAACGTTTATGGCCAGCTATTAAAGTCGAATATGTTGTGTGTGGTATGTACATATGTTTAAGTAAAAAGATACTCTGAACTCGATACGCGATTCCAACAGTACTCGCTTGGCTAAATAGAAATGTACAATCATACTTGTAAAACTAACTTGGCATGTGACTATAAATTAAAATTGCCATATTTGTAGAGAAGACAACTTGTTGCGGTGGCGAGCAGTGTTTAGCTGTTTTACAGCAGCACGCACATCGTCTATGGAGCGAAGGCGATCGCGTGAACTTCCAACTAATAGTTAGCGAGCGGATGCGCGCGATCTTTGCGTAGGAGGCGGCGGCGAGGTAGAACGCGATCGTTAGTTACGTAGGGCGGTAGGGGACGTGATCTTTGAGCGCTCGCTTGTTGGCGGCTTCTCAATGCTGGTGTGTGTGAGAATGAAAACGCGCTGAAATGCTTAACCCTGCAGAAAACAGTTATCAATTGATAAAAAATAACCCACTTGTAGTTGGCTTTTTTGCGGCATTTCTATAAAATATTTAACTTGTAGCTAGCTACAAAATGCTAACTTGAAACTAGTTGACAAGTAATGCAGAAGTAATGAAGGAGATGGTTTTCTATAAACGCGTTTCTATTTAATTATCATGCACTTCGCAAATACTTTTTCGAATTGAGAACAAATAAAAGGGAGATCGAAATTTCATATTTTAATTTTGAAATTATGTCTGACGGAGTTCGAATATGGAACCACCTACAGCAGGATAAGTAAACAAATATGAAATGTAATAAAATAAAAAAAAAATTAAAAAATAAATATTTTGTTTTTCCTATTGTTATTTTATGTCCAAAAGTAGTTAGTTACATCAAATTTAGACTTGACCCTTGACTATTTCGCGGCCATCGCCATATAAATATAGTTAGCTTTCGTCAAAGAAAATATACAGATAATAGTGACTTTTAGCTCCTGCCTAATCAACTTAAAGTTAGCTTATAGTTAGATACATTTCCTGCAGGGAAGCTACTGCTGATCGATCGCACTTAGTAATTTTTTTTTTTTTTTTTTTTAAGTGCCTGTTTCACCCGCGTTACTGATCGTGTAGAGATTTCAATACCGTTTGATGTTAGTATCGGTTGCCTGCTGATGGGAAATTGCGCTGCCTTTTTGTGAATTTTCCTCTTTTTCCGCCCATTGAATAATGCAAATATTTACAAAGCTACTTGAATAGCAAAAAGAAATGATTATTTTGTTTTGTTGTTTTAAAACTTAGTTGCAAATACATACATATTTCTTAGAAATACTCGTAGTGTACATACATATGTATGTCATCAGCAGGTTTACGTGTATCGCCTATTTCAAATATGTAGCTACTCGCAAACAGTGCTACAACATTCATTCATGATTTCATGTCTGTCCGCATTGTTTTTTTGTTTTTGTATTCTATTAAATATTGTGCTGTGCTTTTATTCGACATTAATTTCAGTATTTTTTTTTTTGTAACTATAACTCGGAATTAAATGCCTGTTTCGCTTCAAGTCACTGTTTGCTGGTATGTATATAAATCGCATATAAACTTGTATGTGTCGATTTTTTTTGTGTGTGTGTGTGCTTGTGTGGTGAAAAGGCGATAACTTCAAAACTAGTTTACCTTGTCATCTGCACAAATGTTTGTTTGGTCATATAAAACACTTACATACATACGTACATACATGCATTCAACTCGCTTAGATCTAATGCGAGATGCCAATCAACCAACGCTTCAACATGCTACAACTGTGATCTACAAAATAAGTATGTAGATAAAAAAATAGTCGCAATAAAATTAATCGTTGTTGACTATTTTATTATTACTTTTCACACATATGTATGACTATATAGCGCACACGATCGTCAAAAGTGACACAACTCAAAATTTGGCATTTTTTGAAATTGTGCACTAAAAATGTACACAGCGCTTATATTTACCTATCAGCAAAAGCTAGAGCAAATTTTTGTTAAAATTTGTTAAAAAAACCTAAGGTAAACTCTTCCTTGCCCATATGATTAGCATGTGCTGAGAAATAGTTTTTCGCATCTTCTGACGAACGTGTAATTTTGAGTTGTGTCAATTTTGAAGATCTGGAGCGATATTTTGCTATTTTATTTTCTATTAATTATGCGATACTTGTAATAATGTTCGAAATGGCAAAAAATTTCGAAATTATAGGTATTGGGCTATTATCGAAATAGCAGCGCAATCAACGTAGTTATGGACTATGCAAGTTACTATAAAGAAGAAAAATTCCGATAGCAATCGACAAGACTGAAAATTTATGCAGAACGGATCTAATGACACCCTTTTCTTGGTTAGATTTCTTAAATCAAAAGTACCAAGCTATTTGGGTAACCCTTCAATGCTTGGTGAAGAAATCTCACAGGCTGGCAGCACTTTATTCAAATTAATATAATAAAACCAAATTATGTCGATTGTACAGATAGCCGTACTAGGTACAAGTATTGTACTTGAAAATTAATGAAACTTGAAATTGAGTAAACTAATTTCTGAACACCGATAAATGCAAATAGAACTGAGTACTTTTAAATATTTATTCGACACTTAATACTGAGTAGATACTTTGAATCGACCCTGAGTACATGTATCAGTGATGACAGAGTACTTTTGCGTTCTGATTACTTTCGAGTTCTTTTGTGAGAACTGAGTACTTTGGAGTACTCAGCCTCGATGCTTTTAAAAATCGGGCACTGTCGATATTTTTTTTTAGAATCGGTTTCTGAGTACTTTTGGCATAGAGACTGCCCAACACTATCTATACTTTTAAGTATTGATCGATATTCGGTACCGATTTAAAAAGTATCCAATACTCCCGATAACCGAAACATTTAGGTTTCGAATAACAGCGCACATAGGCCAAAAATATGGAAAAAACAGTTCAGGGGAGACTCGCCTAAATATCAAAACCAGTAGAGCCTATAGAGCTTTTAATACTGATTCAAATGAAAGATGTATATATGTCGGTTCGAGGCCATAATGCAGAGAAACTCTTACTTGTTTGAAGCATTTTTGTTCCAGCTGAATCGAACGATATCATTTTTGTAGACCTGGGCCAGATTCTGTAACCAGTTAGCGACAATTTTCTAATCGGTATCGGTTTTGTTGACGTATGATATGAAATATTTTTAGGTCATCAAGTGCGATATCGATCCGAAACTTGTCGCTAACTGGTTACAGAATCTCCCCCCTGAAAGGCTTCTTCATCCGTCAAAGCATTTTTCTTGAACCTTGGATCAACTAAGGTTAAAACTGATCAAATAATATTTCTCTGTTGCGATAAGTTCAAGTTGTTTAGCCGATATTATATAAATTAATGATGAAAGTTTTCCATAAACTTTAAATGCATATAATGGCGAAGGTTTAAAGTATAGTATCGGTATCGGGTACCGAAAAGGAAGTATTGGGTACCGAAATATTTTTTTTTTTTTTGGGTACCGAGTATTGGGTACCGCCAATTCAGCACAATACTATTGGAAAGTCCCTTCTTCCTGCAAGTATTTACATTAAGCAAGGACCAAGTAATTTGTCTTCAGGTTTTAAGCCACAGTTTGCAGAATGAAAGCAATGTACCCCCTTCATAGAAGGTATTTGTGGTGAAAAGTGTCGCACCAGTCCTAGCTAGTTTGTCTGCCTTACAATTACCTGGTATATATGTATACATCTGCGTGCTGAAACCCAAATCATTTTTTTTTTTTTTGGTATACTTGGATGCCAGATCGTTTAGAATATGCCTACACTTCATAGCTTTAAAGACTTGACTTTCTGAGGAAATGATGACTTCTTGTAGGTTAATATAAGCCCTAATCAGACATAGCGCAACTTCTGGCAGTCGACTTAGTGCAGCCAGAAATCGTTTCATACATCTAAAAAAAGGAGTATCGCTCAATCCGAATTCCTTAAAAAAAAGATGGTTGCTAAGGAAAATTACAATCCTGTCGCACATTGCTCTGATCTTTTGAATACGGAAAGCCCTCTGATTAATTATTACAAAGCAATAAAAGTTTTATAATCAATCAGTGTTAGAATGCCAGCTCAATTATCTGGGTTTCTTCGTAAGCGAATCACTTATTGAACTAGCAATTGTTAGATACTTGCTGATTTAAAACGAACATTCATTTTTTAGATCGTTAACTTGATTCCTGAATGATCATAAAGTACATGTCGGTATGTATGTATGTATGAAGAGAGAGTGCTAATTGCCAATGACAAAGTTCATTTTACTAATAACAAGCAGTTAACTATAACTACATATCAGTATTTTAAGTATCACAATTAGCAACTGATGACAAGAACAGTTCAGCAATAATTACTCATAAAACGTTTATTGTTCATTGCTCAAACGAGGCGAATGCTCTAGAAGTCGCAATAATGCATTTAGAATATCGTTGTTAGCTGACGCACAAAGGAATTTCAAATGTCAAACTTAAGTGTCAACTACGTAATTCCAAGTTTATTATCAATAAACAGTCAGTTAGTTGTCAACCTTTATACAAAAACATTGATTCACTCACTGATCGTGGTGACAAGATCGGCGGGTTCAAATGTTAATGTTAAATAAAATGCAGGAAAATTTTGCGATATGTTTTGCGTTCAATATGGAATTTTTTCGCTAATGATTGAAAATAAATAAATAAATAAATAAGTGGCATGAATTGGTGTAATATCTACCTAATGAATGGGAAGCTTTTTAAAGATCAAAGCGAAGATCAGCGACAAACCTAAAATGTTGAGATGCTTTAGGGCTGAATTGCTAGACTAGATCTTGTGATGAAAAAAAAATATACAATATTTTGGTAGGATGTATTAAAGTACACCTTCAGTCAAAATTTTAAAATGTTCATACCAAAAACAGCGGAAGTGTCGCTGATTTTCTGCATATAAAATAATTTTCGATAATATTTTTATATGGAAATAATCGACATCTGCAACAAAAAAATTTGCCAAAAAGCAATGGTAAGTCCTAACTTTCTCAGACTTGCACTTTATTGTACTAAATTTAAATGGAGTTTTCAAAATTAGCGCGTTCAAAAAATATCGGCTTTATTTTATACTACGTATAGATATTTCAACCAAGTGCTTTTAAAATTACTCATATTATTTTTATTTTTGTTTTTTTTCGCCCACTAAGTTTTTCGTTTATAGGAAAATTACTGCTTAAGCACTTAATAATTTAATTTCTTTTATTCACCAAATGTCTCACTTATGTAAATTACCACCTTCGCCAAATTTCGGCACGTAGGTACTACTGATGAGCAATAAAAATTTTAATATTTAAATTTTATTACCCACATAATAATTTGGTTTTTGAAATCTTGCTTTTTCGCCTCTCAAAATTTTTCATTTATATAAACTTTTGCTTTATTTACTTCTACATTTACCCCGGGTCACTCATTTGGCAACGCCTTCAATAAAACCCTATTTATTGCCTTTGCTAAAATATTCATATTTCTGCTTACATATACATATATGTGTGTACGTGTAATCCGCATACATAATTTCAAAGCGAATTTGGCTGCTTTTTCAGAAACCATAAATAACATTGCTTGAGTCACAAATCCAAATTCTGCACGCTGCTCATAAAGAAACTGTATTTTAAGCAAACGAACCAAAAATAAAAGCTTGTAAAAAAAGTTGAAATAAAATAATATGGATTTTGTATAGCTCGTCGCTGGTTTTTAAATCTTTTCATCTTCTTGCTTTAATTAAAAATTATTACCGGCAGTGTTGGATGTTTGCTTTTGTCGTCATAAATAATCAAATAACGGCAAACTAAAAAAAAACATTTGCTAATGGAAATAGCCACAGAAGGCTGAAGATATGTATGAATTTATATGCAAACATATGTATGTATATATGTGTGTACGTACATATGTATATACGATTACAAGAGGAAGCAATTTAAAATTGTGCACATAAAAATTTTTGTGATGACATAAATTTTCCAATTTTTTAATAAAGGAATATACATATGTACACTGGCGGAGAAAAGTATTGGCGCAGAGAATTTTTCACGATATGTGCAACAATTTTTATTCTAATTTTTTTTTGTCGCTAATTTTTTATGAAAATATGGTTCATTCTACAACAAAAAAACATAAAAATATAACTTCTAAACATAGTGCAAAACTTGGGAAAATTCATTAATCTTTCATGCAAATTTTCAACTGGTTATAATAAAATTTATTGGGCTTAAAAACTCTATGATCAAAAAGATTCTAAAAAAATCTGATTAAAAAGTTGAAAATTTATTGAATTTTCTTGAGTTTTGCACAAAGTTTAAAAATTATATTTTTATGTTTTTTTTGTAGTATCAACCATATAAAAAAAAAAATAACGGAAAATTAAAAATAAAAATTGTTGTATATGTTGCAAAAAAAAAACTGTGCCAATACTTTTTTCCGGCAGTGTATAGATATGTTTGGCTACATATATTATTTGCGTTGTATAATACATTTTAAAGTGATTTCCTTTGCACATTTGTGTGTGCTAAATATCTATAATTATCTATTCCAAAAAGACATTTTGAAAATCTGCGTGATAGCAAATCAAGCATTCGTTATTTATTACCGACCATGTGATTTGTGCATAAAATAAATGAAATAATAATAAGAAAAAAAACTAAAAATAAAATCATTCTCTGCGCGCGCTAATAATTATTTATTGATTGTGGGCGTTGCCACCGCCATCATTTCGCTTATTTATTTCGAAATATTATTTATTGCCACATATTTTTCCTACTAATTTTCAGTTTATCGCGCAATTTGCTATTTTCCTTTGCCTTTGGTAGTTTTTATTTCTATATTTTGTCCTCTAAATTTATTTGATTTAATTTTATTTTTATTTTTTTGCTTATATTTCAGTCAGCTAAATTTCATGCTAGCCAATTTGAATTGTTAATTTTGTATTTTTATTTTCGATCTAGTTCATTGGTTTCCATTTCTGTCTGGTTTTTCTTAGTAAAATACACTCCTTAATTTCTCCACATCTCATGAATACCATTTATGTAAATCTTTGTTGTTGCATTTGTACATTTGAAGTGAAGTACCTTGCAGCGTTGCAATGTGGCACAGCCAACCAAGCAAACAAAAAATAAAACAAAACAAAAGCAACACGCTCAGCATGTCGTCCTTTTTCGCGCCCAAAACTATTAGACAGTTCCACCTCTGTTTGCCAGAATTCGTTGAAAGTCAAGCTATGCATATGTCTGTATGTGTGTGTGCATACCCTAAACTGCTGTTTAAATTTGTAATATTTATACAGTGGCGGTAAAAAAATTCACACACTGCCTAAATTTTATAAAAAAAAACGAAATCGGCCTTTACCAATACTTTTCTCAATACAAACAATGCCGATTACTGTCGACATTCTGCCAAATTTCCCGAAGGTATTTTCGACTTCGTTTACGGCGGTGTCTTCATATATGTATTCATCTTGCTATTAGTCTTCGCATTCACTTTATTATTCGTTTTAGTCGCCGCCGTTGTATTCGCCTCCCTTTTTGTATTTATCTTCGTGTTTGTCCTCGTATTCTTTCTCATATTCGAACTCATCTTGATATACTTATTTTTAATTGTCTTCGTCTTCATGTTCCGACTTCATATTGGTATTTGCCTTCGTTTCCATCTACTTATTCCTCTTCTTCGGATTTGTCTTCGTTTTCGTCATTCACCTTTTATTTGGGACTCTGATTACCTAAGGAATTTTGGCCGAGTCCAACATTGCCCGCCAATCGGCTGTACTGTGTACCAATTGACGTCAATTGGAAATGTCAAGTGAGGTCAAGTCCTTTTCCGCTATTCCGGATATTATCGGTTGGGGCGGCGGGATGCTCATCCACTGGTGTGAACATCTGTACTCGGCGGCGAAGTTCTATTACATTGGCATCGATTAGATAAACATGCAACACGCTTAACTATATATCGTACCCCGCTAAGTCTGCGGCAATCGTCTCTATCACCAAAGAAGAACTGGTTTATCCTTTAGACCGGCGAATGAGCGTTCGGCAGCTTTGAATACTTCGACTTCATATCTGAAGAAGCGAATAAGAGCGTATAGAGGCTGGCTCCAATCGAATCATTATGTACACAATTGAGGAGTGAATAATAGAGTAAGCAATCTCTGTAACAGAGAGGTCCAGTAAATATGAATCTCTCCGTCAGTCGGTGCAATAAAAACGGCAGTTGACCGACTACGTACCACTGCAGTACCGATTAGAAGAGTAAATATATACCAAGCGACAGCTGGGCTCTAGGATCGCTTTGGTGCGAAACTTGTCGAGGAATGTCTGAAGTCTCTTTCGGTCGCCTCGGTGCCATTACAGAAAACTGCTTTACTGATGAGTTGGCTAGACAGCGCCCCCTTAGGATAATCTCGCCTAACAGAAAGGATAGAGAAGTTTATGTGGTAACAGTGGAACTGTTCTTGAATAGACGGCCGTCTTGTTGACTCAGCGAACGCGGCGCTAAGTTCCAAACATGTTTAATTTGGCAGAGTCTCTCTAACCGCTGGTTGGCAGTAATTGGTCAAAGGACCTTACTCAGCTGGCTAAACGCCAACTCTCGGGTTGGAAAGCAATCCTGAGCACGCACAAACTCCCTTTGCCTTAGCTGTTTGGAGGATAACGAGGTGGAATCATTTCGCCTCAACTACCCTGATGTTGCAAGACTTGGGTTTAAATATCTTGGCTCTTTAAGGTGGGCATCAGCTGCTTCTTTTGAGCACCCAGCACTTTCCCAAACAACTTTATATGGAATACCTGCAGTTACTATTCGTACCTGCCTTAATATTCATATAACTAAATTCAGGACTTGCCCAATTTGTTTGCCCTACACTGTTCATGCATATGGCTTTGTATTCTTGTGCTGGCATTTCATCGTAAGTCTGATTGTATCTGAATTGTCTTGCTTACCAGTCAGTTTCTCTGTTTTTTGCCTGTCTTTTCTTTCGTTGCTGTCAATTTGCTGACCCATAAGGGTGTGGATGAAAAAGTCGTGTTCACTCCTGTGGCGCAAAACCTGACTTGGTTTTGGTATTCGAATTTTTTTTTTTCATTTTATTTTTTCGTAGGTTTTGTCTGTACCAAATTTACTGACATTTTATTTGAGATGAAGTCATATATTTATTTGGAGCAATTTGTTGTCGTAAAGAAGGCGTTTTTTTTACAATCTGAGCTTTGTGTTTTATAATCTTGCTAAATGTCATTTCTTTAGCTTTTTAACTTGAATTCTGCTTGCTGTTGCTGGGAGGCATTTACGTAAAAAAAATATTGATTTACCTCTGAAAAAAAAAATGCAAAATATGTATCTATGTCGTAATCGCTGAACATTGTATGAAATGTTAGCTCAAGAAAAAGTCATCCTGAATGCGGCCTCATTCATCTGCCGGTATTTACAAAATTTTACTGCAATTCTTAGTTCAGAATTTCGCTCCATTCATATCACTTCCAATTTTAATGCAAACACAAAAACACCACGAAACGGAAATCTAGTCATAACTTTCTTATAAATTCTATAAAAATTCCGAGCGAATTAATCATAAACCATTAATAAAACGTGCTTAGCCTGTGATTTGCTGTTTTACAATTTTATTCTTTGCCCTTTTCTCTTCATTTTTCAGTTGGAGTCTTTATTATTTTATTTTCAATATTGGCATAACAGAAAGGTGTTGTTAACTACACAATATGACTGCATTACAAGCAAATATGTCTGTTTATTTACCACGTACGAGTTTCACATGTAACTGATAAGCGTTAACAAACTTACAGACACTGTTGGTAGGTGCATTCTCATAATTACGTTCTACGTAAATGTGTATGTACATAAGAATACTATGTAGTATAATTTATATGATCATAAAATTGAAAAAAAGGTGAAGAGAAGCAAAAACCTTGACAAGTACCTTTGAAATGCACGATAAATCTATGCACTTACACATATACAGTCTGTCAATAAAGTTTAGGTACAGCGATTTTTTACAATATGGGCAACTATTTTTTAAATATTTTATTTTTCGCTAATTTTCATAAAAATATGTTTAATTCTACAAGAAAAACCCCAAAAGTTAGGGCTCCAAACCTTGTGCAAAATTCCATTCAAACATTGCACTTTTTATTTACGCTCTCTAGGAAAAAGTTTAGTACGCAATTTTTTAGCCCATTCTATTTTAGTATAGTAAAGTGCAAGCATGAGGAAACTAGGACTTACTATTGATTTTTGGCTAATTTTTTTGTTGAAGGTGTCGCACATTTTTTCCATATAAAAAAATTATCAACATTATTTTAATGCTAAAAATCAATATTAAGTCCTACCCTGCAGGGAGTGACGTTAGCTTATACCTAACTTTAGTCTGTTTACGCGAACACTAGTGCTAACTATTAACTGTGTATTTTGTTCGAAAAATGCTAACTACTTTTGTGAGGCGATGGCCGCAAAAAAGTCAGACCTGAATACCTCTGCATTACATGTCAACTAACTTGTAACTAACTACTTTTGGACATAAAATATCAATAAGAAAAACAAAATATTTTTGTGTTTTTTTACTTTTTTATTTACTTATTTATTTACTTTATTTTATTACATTTCATATTTGTTTACATATTCTGCTCTGGGTGGCCCCATATTCGAACACCGTCAGACATAACTTCAAAATGATAGTATAAAATTTCGATCTTCCTTTTATTTGTCCTGAATATGAAAAAGAATCTGCGAAGTTCAGAAAAAAAGTGTATTGAAAGTAATTTTTGTATGAGGATATTTAATAGAAACTTGTTAAGAAAACCAACTCCCGATTGCGTCTGCATGACTCCTGCACGACTTTACAATTCACTTTAAGTTGGTTTTGTCATAGCTAATTAAAAGTGAGGTATTAATCGAAATCTCGCCAAAAAGCTAACTATAATTTGGTTAGTTTTAACAATTGATAATTTTTCACTGCAGGATAGCTACTCTAACTTGCACTTTACTAAAATTGAATGGGCTAAAAAACTGCGTACACAACTTTTTTTTAAGAGTGTAAATAAAAAGTGCAATTCGGATGAAAATTTGCATAGTTTTCTTTAATTTTGCATAAGGTTTAAAACTCTGATTTTTCGGATTTTTGTTGTTGAATTAACCATAATTTTTTTAAAATTAGCGAGAAACAGAATATTTAAAAAATAGTTGCCGGTATTGTAAAAAATTCGCTGTACCTAAACTTTATTGACTGACTGTATGTACATATACATACCCTGCAGTGAAAAATTATCAATTGTTAAAAATAACCAACTTGTAGGTAACATTTTGGCGGGATATCGATAAATACCTCACTTTTAATTAGCCATGTCAAAACCAATTTTAAGTGAGTTATAAAGTCGAGCAGAAGTCATGCAGATGCAATGTAACTCATCTATTAATGCCCTGCAGGTAAATCTAAAGCTTATAAGTGTATATGTAAGTCAAATGATAATTCAAGTTTGTGATTCTGCTCAAAAATATTTTCTTTTATTACCAGTGTAGACAGTCAGGAATCCACCGATATACCTGTTAGGAAATTAAACAAGGGGCATAATACTTACTATTACTCAGAGGACTAACATCCTTACTATCCCTCTATCACAAAGCGTTCACACATAGTTACTAAGGTAAACTTCGTTTTTATTGCACCTTATGGTTTCTCTAATACGCAAATAGTTATATTTAGGCAATATAATGCCTATCTTTAAAAGAACACGCAATGAAAAAGACGTTCACATTTTATAAAAAAAAAAATCAAATATGTTGTACTCTTGTAAGTTTCCAGTAATTGATATATTTGTAAAGGGTTCGTTATTTACTAAGACTGTCAATTTGCCCAAGCTTGCAGCACTTTCCAGCCAATTTTTTAACCATAAAAAATCTCCTGAATAATGCATAAAGAAAAAAACACGAAGCAAAATAAAATGTGAGAACATAAAAACTTACCTGTAGCGTGGGCCACACAACTAGAGTGAAAGTTCCTTCCATTATTTGTTGTCTTATGCCAAATATTAAGCTTATCCTTAGTCTCATTTTCGTTGTTGGTATTGCCGACAGGGTCCGTCAGCCCTTTTCAAACTTGGTTCGCCTTCAGAAAAATACATTTCGGGTAGTGCTTTTGGTTTCCAAATTGGTCTAGTAGGACCTCCAAACAATACCCATCATGACGGTTGAAAATTACCAAAAAAAAAAGCTTGTAAAAAAACGTTTTTTGATCGAAATATAAAAATGTACCAATTTAGCAATGATCTAAAAATAAAAATCTTGATATTTAACGGATATTTTCGATGCCTGATAGAAGTTCATATGTAGAATTTTTGCAAAGAAAGCCATTCCAAGCCTCTAATTACAAAGCTTTTTACTTACAAATGTACTATTTACGCTTGCCTTCTCTTCTTTGAATTTACATTCTCCAAATCAATTGATTTTCCTGCAGGGTACTTACATTCATTGGATGAGCCTTTGAATGTATGGTTATGCGCATACGTAGATTTGCCTTCCATGAGTACCATTCCAGACCAATGTATGTATGTACGTTGTTGATAAGGGACACTGTAAAAAATGAATCTAAAAAACACATGTGTTCGTATTGGGGAATCTCTCTGCTAGAAGCAACAACATGTGTTCAACTTTTTGTTTACATTCATACAAACAGACATACAGTTGTCCACAAAATAATAGGATTGCGATATTTTGACCAGTTTTGGCTATTTCAAGCGGCTTGAAACTTGCACTTCTTCAGACTAGAAATGAATGTGCTACAAAACTGCATACCAGAATTTTTTCTAAAGATTCTGATTAAAAAGTTTGAAATTTGGGTGAAAAATTGTAAAATTTGTATAATTTTTATACAAAGTTTAAAATCTGAATTTATATGGTGTTTGTTGTATAGCCAGCTAGGCTTTTATAAAAAAATAATAAACATTAAATAAACAAAAGACAAATAGCCAAAACTGGTCAAAATATCGCACTCCTATTAT